AAATACTGATAAAATTTTTACAAAAAATTTTTTTATAAAATTAGCTATTTTCAGCTCATATATAACCCTAAATTTTTCCTTATAATATAAAAACAAATACTGCAAAAAGATAATCATTATTTTCAAATTTTATTTTCTATAATTATTTTTTTAATATTTTTGTATTTTATAAAAGTAAATCAGAGCTAAACATTTTTATATAGAGGAACTAAATAACTCTCTCCATTGATCATTTTGACCATTTCTGAAGCTAAAAGAAAAAGACCAAAAACTTAAAAAATCTACTAAAAAACAGTAGCAAAGTCACTAGCAAAAAGAAAAGAAAACTAAAAAATAGATATAACAAAGATAGAAAATAAGAAAAAGAAGAAGAAAATAGAAGACTAGAAGAAGTTTTAGGAAAAAAGACTACAAAAAAATTAAAAAGTTTTAAAAAAGTAGGAATTAGAAATACCCTATAATGTAGATCATTTATGGTAATACAAACATATATAATTAAGGTAAACAAACAAATACGAGATAGTAAAGTTATATATATCATATGTCAAGTAGTAGAAGTATACACGCCAACTAAAACTGGATATTTTACTAATAAAAAAGAAAAACCTTGAGGAATTTTAGAAAAAAGACAAAGTCACTTATAAGAACAAAAAAGAGAAAAACTGAGTAAAGTATCAGATAGAAGAAACCTAAATAAAGCTAAAAGCAAAGTAAATCTAATATGTAGAACAAAAAAAATTCTAAGGTAATGACTAAGAGGTTCATAGAAAAATATAGAAGAGAATTATTCTAAGAGGGAAGTAGCAAAGCAGAAAAATAGAGGAGTTCTTTGATGAAGCAGTTGTATCAGCAATGAGAATTAATAAAGAAGTAGTCACAGTAGCAAGGCAATAGAGAGAAATGATAAAAAAAATTACTATATTCGAAGGCCTAGATAAAGTAAAAGAAATAATGACACAAAAAGATAAACAAGAAGAGTTAGTTATAGAAGAAAAGAGCACAATTAACATAGAAGTAGAAATGCAAATAGAACTAATAACAAGCAAAGAAAAGTATAAACAAGAAGAAGATATAGTTGCTAAGAGTAAGTAGAATCGAAGAACAAAATAAGAATGATGAAACTAAAAAAGAAAAAATAGAAGATATTAGAATAATTAATGAAAGCCTAGAAATCAAGCCAAGAAATAATATGTTAAAGAAAAGTTTGATTAACTTGAAGAATACTTCAAGGTACAATATAGTAACTTATCACTTGATGAAAGTATATGGGCACCCAAAAAAGATGCATGTAAAGAAGAAGGTATATATAAAGCAAAAGTAGCAGCAATTAATATATTAGGTGACAACGCAGAGCAAAAAAAAAAATATATTAGATAGTTATTAAAAGAGACCAAGTACCTAAAAGAGATTAATAAAAGATTCGCAAAGAGAAACTTATAGTACATCTTATACTTCAATTGCAAAAGAGGTTATGAAGAAGCAAAAGCTAAATTCAAGAGCAATAAAGAAGAGTATGAGTAACTAAATCTAATTCTAGAAGAAGCACCAATAAAGAAAGCAAATAAAATGAATGATAATAAGCAAAAAAAGATAAGAAGAGTAGAAAGCCAGAATATAAATAAAGAAGAAAAAGAAAAGTAGACAAAAATAGAACTAGAAGAAATTGAGAGAAAAAGAGGTGAACTAAGAGAAGAACAAGTGAAGATCTAAATAAACCAGGCTAAAAACAAAAGAAAAAGAAAGATAGTATATGAAGAAGACAAAATAGAGAGAGAAGAAAAAGCACAAGCAAGAAATATCACTATAGAAATAAAAAAAGAAAAAAATAATATAAGATATTAAGAAAATGAAGAGAATAGAGGGAGCAATATTCTAAAGGAAAAAAGAAAGCAATACTATGATGAGGGGAACAAAGATCTAAAAGGCTTAAAGAAAAGAGAATCATACTAAGAAGAACCTAAAATGAGTACAACTAGAGAAGAAAAGGCAATAACAATATAGGATATTCTATTACATATTTCAAGAACTCAAGTATTCAGAGTAGTAATATACATAGGAAGAGTTGCAAATATTGAAATAATTCAAAAAGGCTATATAAAAATAAGAACAGAAATTATATTCGAAGAATTGAGAATAAACAACCAAGAAAAAGAAGTCTGGGCTATACTGTTACTGAACAATATACTAGTCTGTATCACACTAGGACTAAATAGAAGAGAAGTTCTTGAAAGCCAAAAACAATATATAACAAAACTATATAACATCTCAAAAGAAGCTAATAAAGTACTTCTGTTTAGACAAATTAAGTATATAGGAGCAAAAATAGTACATATTTTCAAAAACACAAATGGAAATAATAAAGGATTCACTATAGTTTCCTTTAAAAGTAAAGAAGAGTTAGAGCAAGCAAGAAGATACAGTATGTGATATTATAATACATAACTCTCCTAAGAAAATGCAGAGGCTAATGCTAATGAAATATTACACAATAGAGCAAGGCAAAAGAGGATCAATTTGGAGCAAGAATGGAGAAGCAAGCAGCACAAACAAATTGTTATAAATAAAAAAGAAGATATAGCCAACAACTATAAGAAGAGAGAACAGTATGATAAGAAAGAAAGCTTACAGAAAAAGAAAGGAGAAGAAGCTAACAAGAAGAGAAAAACTGAAAAGAGCAATAAACACAGAGTAATATAGAAGGCCA